GGGCGGGCCCGCGGCGGCCGCCGCCACTTTGAGGGCCTGGCGCTCGGCGAAGGCGCGGCCGCGCTCGAGGAGCCATTCTCCTCGGGGTGCGAGCAATCCTTTTTCTTCGAGGCGCGGATCCCACAAATCCCGAGTGGAGCTCTCCTCGTTGAAACTACAGACACACCCAGCTAATACCCTGGAATCGGTGAGACGCGGCATGAACTAAACAATCCTGAGCGCACTGCCACTGCGAGCCCTTGGTTTATAATCGATCCCCATCCCCAGCGACGTGGCCTGGGCCCCACTGGCCGATTTACCCCCCTAGATGGGGATATAGGCCGTTCCCTTCGAGTTTCGAGGGGTGTATCCCCAACTGGAGTGGAAATTTAGTGGGGGTCTCGAAACGGATGGGGATGGGGATGGGGATTGGTCGGACGATACCGAAAATAGCAGGAGGACAGGAGGGGCAAGCAGAGGCGAGGGAGGAGACGGGGCGAAGCCCGAAGCCAGGGCGCACGGGCTGAAGCCGGGGCGCATGGGGCCTGTTTTCCAGTACAGTACCAGAAATTGGAGGGGGAGGGGGCCCTCCTCCTCCTCCTCCTCCCCCTCTTCCTCCTCCTCCTCCACGTCCTCCTCCACGTCCTCCTCCTCCTCCTCCTCCTCTTCGTCCTCCTCCTCCTCGTCATCCTCCTCCTTGCCCCCTCCAACTTATGGTGGTGGTGGTGGAAAACAAGCCCATCATCAATGCTAAAGAGTTGCATGCTCGTGGTGATCCACTGGAGCTCCAACTACATGGCCGACAGCAGCTGGCCCAGCTTCGGGTGGTACAAGCCCTTCCCCCCCCTTATCAGCGGCCAACGAGAGCCCAGACACTCTGCTGTCCCACCGAATTCGCCCATGGCGTCCCGCGAGGGGGCGCCCAGGAGGGATCCCAGGCGTCCAGCAGCGGGGAGAAGCCTGGACGACGGTGCACGGCTTCGGCGTGTTCGGCCTCTGGCGGCCCTCGCCAGGGCCCTGCACCGCGCAGAAACGACACGGGACGAAAAGCCGACCTCAAAGAGAGGGTCGGGGACTTCCAGGGGCCCCCCCTCACTGGAGAAAGTCCAGTCGTCGGCCGCCCAAGACCCAGATCCTCCTGGCCTTGGGAATGGGCTCGGACCTCTTGGGATCTTGCAGTCGGAGAACTTGAGCATCGCTCCTCCGGTCCCTACCCCGCGGGGCTGCAGCTCGGGGCCCCGGGCACGTGCCCAGCCCGAGGAGGGAGGCTCCCAAAAGGGGGCGCGCTGGGAGAAGAGGGCGAGCTCGTCCGCTGCCGTCTCTGGGTACGGTGCTTGGGCCGTGGGGCCGCTCGGAAGGGATCCGGCAGGGGTGGACCTGAACGGCGTCTTGGCGATTTCGTGGGCCGGTCTCGTCTCGATCCCGTCCTGCAGCAGAGGCGGAGCAAAGACAGAACCAGGGAAAACGGAAGCAAGACGAGAGCGAAAACCACTGCTTGGGCGGGGCGAGCAGCGTTTTCGTCTTCCCCCCCACTTCCCACATTTGTCATTTATTCCTTGCAAACTGCGTTGAATTGTGTCTGTATGTTTTTTCCTCTCCCGATAAGCTCGGCCAGGCTGGGCTCAGCCAGCTGAACTCGGCAAGGCTGCACTCGGCCCGGCCCGAATTCAACTTGGCCGAATTCAGCCTGGCCGAATCTAGATACTGCCCACCTAGCATTAAGTCGGGCGTGTCCCCCCACGGGCGGATTTTGGACAACAAATAACAAATACTCAAAACATACCCCCAAAACAACCAAACAAAAAGTCCCCAGACTATTTTTGGACTTTTTTCGAATATTCCCACTGTAGAGGGACAGGCCCGACTTAAAACCTAGCAGTCGCTCTCTCTCTTCCACGCCTGGTGGCTTTCGGCTCCTCGCTCGCAAGGGCCTTGGCGGCCGCTCGGGACGAGTCGGGCCCCCCCCGGGAAAGACCCCGGGAGAGCTCTAGGCGCAGCTGCTGGAATCCTCTGGAAGGCACCCCGAGGCGAGAATCCCTGCAGGTACCAGCGATCACTTCCAGCCCCTTCTCCTCCTCGTCCTAGTCTGAGGAATGCTGGGGGGGGGACCGGCTCAGGGGAGGAAATATCGACCTGGAATCGGCGATGCATCGCCGATGCATTGGCAGTTGGCCCCCAACAGCGAAACCAGACGGTCCTGGACGCGCTGGGATATCGGCAACGATCGGCGATCAATGGGCGATTGGAGTGAGGCAGCTTTTCTACAGATGCTGGCAAGTTTGCTTGCAGGGAGGGGGGGCCGTGGCGAGACCCGAGAGGAAATCTGGATCCCAAGCAGGTCGAGACTCACTTGCATGTTTTTCGGGCCAGCGAGGCTTGCAAACGCGGCGGAGAAGGAGGGAGCGGGGACTGCTATGAAAACAAACTTGCCATAATCTAAATAGAAACGCGCTCAGGCTGATGCATCCCCCCTGAGCTTGTCCCCTCTTTAACGCAGCCGTTTAGTTTTCGGGTCATACCTCGGCTCCCCGGCGGCCCGAAACGATCCGGGCACCCCCGAAACGCTGGCGACGCGCAACCACTGGAACGTGTCCCGAGGTTGGACAACAGGCCACAATCAACGAACACGCCAGAAAACCTGCAGCCTCGAACTCTCCCCGAGTCTATTCCCCCCGCTGCGTCTGTACCCTCCCATACCTCGCCCCCGAGTGTTACCCTACCTCTCTTAAGGACGTCCCCGATCTCCTGCGGGCGGCGCCGGGGCGGCCGCGCGCTGTGGGACCGGCGCCGCACCTTGAGGCGGGCTGTCAGGCCCGGGCTACGCACTCGGAAATCGAGACGGCCTCTGGAAACCGCTCTCTGGAAAGGCACATTGCCAGGGCCCGTCCTTGGGCCTAGAAGCTTCATCGGCTACGCGCTGGAGTGATCCTGGGCAAAAGTGGCCTTTTGGTGCGCGGCTCCAAAGGGGCCGCGGATGGGGCCAAACCCAAACTCGCAAAACAGTGCTCGGAGGGACCCCTGTGGGCACGCACCAAGGGCCAGTCCAGCGAAGGAAGTGTCATTCCTACCCGTGGCCGACTTTAGAGAGCCCCTTGCAAGCTCATGGTCGGGTGGTGTGAGAAGGGCACGAGCAGTGCCGAAGAAGAGGAGGAGGAGGACGTCGTGGTGACGGTAGCGGAATAGAGGAAAAGAAAACGATTACCATGCCCAAGACTGAAAGCGGAAACATCGGTGATGATCCTGGCCACCATCCATATTGGTCATCGTCGGCTCGTGGATCATCATCGCGAATCGGCGATGGCAAGCATGGACCGCGACCGAGATCGACGTCGGACAGACCCACCGAAATCTTGGCATGGTCTGGGTTTTTTTGTCGGCTGTCCGCGGAGGCCGCAAGTGGTTTCTGCAACGTGAAGACGCGATTGCCTGCGTGACCCCACAATACGGAAGAGGGCGACATTTCGGGTTGACTCCCGGCCCGTCTGGAGGACCCGAGGGCTGACGATTCGGAGGAGGAGGAGGAGGAGGAGGAGGAGGAGGAGGAGGAGGAGAAGAAGGGGAGGAGGAGGAGGAGGAGGAGGAGGAGGAGGAGGAGGAGGAGGAGGAGGAGGAGGAGGAGGAGGAGGAGAGAGGAGGAGGAGGAGGAGGAGGAGGAGGAGGAGGAGGAGGAGGAGGAGGAGGAGGAGGAGGAGGAGGAGGAGCAGGAGGAGGAGGAGGAGGAGGGAGGAGGAGGAGGAGGAGGCGGCGGCGGCGGCGGCGGCGGCGGCCTCTGCACGCCAGCTCTGCATGCGGGCCCACGCTCGGCGGCGAGCCTCCCGCGGGCCGACGGGCGGCGGGCGCAGGCGCCGCGGGCCGCTGCGCGGCGCCCGCCGCGGGAGGGGAGGCGAGCTGCGAGTCCTTCCGGGGGAGGGGGAGGAGGAGGAGGAGGAGGAGAGGAGGAGGAGGAGGAGGAGGAGGAGGGAGGAGGAGGAGGAGGAGGAGGAGGAGGAGGAGGAGGAGGGGGAGGAGGAGGAGGAGGAGGGGGAGGAGGAGGAGGAGGAGGGGGAGGAGGAGGAGGAGGAGGAGGAGGAGGAGGAGGAGGAGGGCCACATCCCCTGAGATCCTTTGGCGGCGCGCACAAGTGCCTCGCCGATGCGGCGCCGATGCAACGGCGACCCTTCAGCTTCGTTTGGGAGGCGTGGGCTACATCCAGACACGCTTGCTTCCTCCCCCCACACCTCCCCACCGCACCACCTCGCACGACTCCTCTGGCGGCGCGGACCATGGGGTAGGGGGAGGGGGGAAGGGGCCCGCGCCTTCTAAAAAACAAGATGCTTCTAAGAAGCCCTCCCCATTCCCCCTAACCCCCTCTGCGCGTGGCTGAATCCTGGCGTCGCATTGTTTCCACAACGATCGATTCCCCGATCAGTGATTTAGGCAACTCGATTCCGAACCCTAACCCCGCCGTTCATCGAGTTGCCTAAATCGTTGACTGGCGAGGGTAGGAATCGAATTTCGCCGGCGAGTGGAGAGAGGCGGACCTTCACGAGCGGCGAACGTATCCACATCTGCGCCCTCGCGGTCTGGATTCCGGGGCGCGATCCTGCGGATGCGCGGCCGCAAGGATACGTCCCGCGCGGGGCATCCGCGAGCAAACACGGCCAGCATCCGCGGGAAGGCGGCACCAGGGGCCTGGCCCGCGAGGCCGTGGAGACCGATATGAGACATGTTTTGCGCTCACGAGGCCTGGCGGGAAGGAGGAGGCGAAGGCCTTCGGGATCCAGACCCCCGCGCGTCGTGAAAACCCAGCGCCAGGAGGTTTGTTTTGCCATCTTCGGCTTCTGGGGGCCCTCGCTGGGCCCTGGGACCATCAGAGATCAACTCAGGATGAAAGTCTGGTCCTGGGGAGTATGTCGAGACCTCTGGGGAGTCGACGCCTTGAACAAAATCACGACGTCTGGGACGGGAGGCTGATTGTGGAAAATCCGCGAAGGCTGGGTCTGTGGTGCTTTTGTCGGCCCCTCCCGAAAACTCCTGGAGAGAGGGCCGATTCCAAGCCGACGTTGGGAACCGCTCCTCCTCCAGATCCGCCCGAAGTTTGGAACGACCATGGGGTTCGCAACACCTGACAGAACAGGGATACAGCTCAGCGTGTGATGACAACGATACGCGGAGACTCAGCGTCCTCTTGGCGTACGAGCGCGCGGTCTCCGAGGTGCCCGTTGTCATGGCACACAGCCCTCGCGCCCAGGGTCTCCTTCCGCTTGGTCTCTGCCCGCAGTGAAATGGCTCATGCATGCCTCGGCCCCTGTGGTTCTCCACTCCCCCTCAGCACAACGAAGGAACAGCCCGCGTCAGTGTCAGACACGTTTGACACTCGGCTGTCCTGGTACATGTGCCCTGTTCTGCCCTCCGCCCACAACCAGGGAACGGTCGCACTGGAAGTGTGATGGGAGGCCCTTCCTTCTGGAGGAGATGGAGCAGCTCAGCCGCCGCCGACGCCCTCTTTTCCGTTGCTTGCGTCGGGGTAGTGCGAGCAGATACGTCAGGATTGCACGCCACCATGTGAAAGTGTGAGAACCTCTCGAGGTCCTTCAGGAGCTGGCGGGGCTTTCTCTGCCTTCGGACCCTTACCTGGGGTTCCGTGACGCACCTTGCTGGGGGAGGAGAGGTTGGGGGGCTGGAGTCTGACCCCTGATGCCCCCCTCTCGCCCTTTTGAATCTGTTTCCTTAACCGAGGCAGCTAACAACTCATGCCTGTAGTTTGACCGACCAGCCGAGGAGGAGGCCCAAGCCCACCAGCAAGATCAAACGGAGGTGGTAGGGATGAGAGGAGGAGAAGGTGGCAGAGGAGTCGAGGAAATAAACACGACGACTGTGACCAAGACTGCGTGGGTGCCGACCTGGGTCACCGTCAATATTGGCCACCGTCAGCCCGCGGCTACTCCTCGCGAGTCGGCGGCGACAAACATTGACCGTGACCAAGATCGGTGTTGACAAGATCCCGCGGCATCTTGGTCATGGCAGTCGTGCCTCCTCCATTGAGGAGGGAGGGCGGGCGGACCCACCGCCGCCACCAAGCCCGGCCGAGGGCCAGGAGACAGGGCTGCGGACGGCCTATCACGACATGTTCTTAGAACAAATGAAGGTGCTAAGATCAGACACAACGTTCTCATAACATAAAGCCGACGAGATCAAACAAGACAGTGACAGCCAGAACTGTTCTAAGAACAGTTCGTGCGAACCATCAAGGTCCTTAGAGCATTCGTTGGTGCGCCTACAGGCGAGCCAGGACACTTCGCCACTGCTTCAGGTCTGGTGACCTGTCGACTTTCCTGGGGACCTGCACGGTCGAGGAGCCGCATTTGTTCAAACTGAAGAGCAGTCTGGTGACCTGCCAGCTTTCCGGGGACCTGCACGGATGAGGTGCCGCACTGCAGCGAGTACAATAAGCCCACACAACCGATTCTGTAGAAGACTTCGAAGTAGGGTCCGAGTAGATATTGTCGGACGATCGCGCCACATCGCCGATGCATTGCCAACGTGCAGCAATCGTGCCTCCATAAGGAATGCTGAAAGAGGAGCGAAAGTTTTTGTGTGGCCACGGGGAGCCTTTGCCACGAATAAGTGGCCCCAGGTTAGATCGAAGGAACGGCCAGAAAACCAGAGCCCCTCCTGAGCCCGCAGTGGTCCTTATTTCAGCGCCTCGACTGTATCGGCAATGCGTCGGCGACGTCGGCGACGCATCGGCCAGGTCCGCGTGGAAAAAACCGGGCTCCGCATCGAGCCGCACCGCCGATGCATCGGCGATGCGGTGCGAACCCCGTGCCCAATCTGCTCTGGGAGGCCTGAACTCTGGCGCCCTCGGATTGTCTTGCGGCGGCGGCGGCAGCCGCGGCCTTGCCGGCCGCCGCTTCTGGGGGCATCGCAACGGTGCCGACACTTCCGGGGGTGCGCTCCGCAGGGGAGAGGCTCGAGGCGAGCCCAGCTGTGGCGGCGAGGGCCTCTCGGGAGGCCCAGCGAGAGGCGAGGCCGAGGCAGGGGGAAGTCTGGCGTGCTCGGAGGCTCCTCCTCCTCCTCTGTCGAGCTGCTGGCCCGCCCGTCCTGGGAGCCCAGGCCCCTCCTCGCGGCAACGCGCTGAGCGAAGCTGCTGCGGCGGCCGGCGGCCGCGGAGGCGGCCACGGCCGCGAGGGCCGCGGACTTGCTGCTGCGGCGGCGCCGCACGCCCGCGCCCCCGCCCGCCGCGGCCTCCGCCGCGGCGGGGCGGCTGAGGTGGCGGCGCCACCGGTTCTGCATGGAGGCCTCGCTTTGTGTTGCTCCCGTCGTACGCAAGGATCACATCCCAGAAACAATTTCGAGCACCCAGGAAAGTATCGAAGCAGTGTCGAACGAGGATCGCCTCCGAGGCCCGACACGTGAAAACCCTCAAGCTTCGGTACTTTCTTGGTGCTCGAAATTCTTTCTGGCGATCAAGGCTAAAGTAGGTTGGAACATCATAAGCCTTGCTGTGGGCGGTGATCCGCTCCCTCTCGGCCAGCTCCCACAGCCTCATCCCCTGGGCCCTCAGGGGAGGGGGGGCACCGAAGGGCACAGCAGGTTCGCGCCGCGTCGACCCCGGCGTTGGTCGTTGGTCCCAAAGACCGCGGGGATCGTTCAGCCTTGAACGATCGGCCGTGGCCGAAACGTCAGATCGTTCCGCATCAACCGATTCTGAGTCGCCGGCGGCGTCCAACGTTGAACGCCAGCGGCGGGATCGCCGCCGGTGGGCACGACGCGAACCTACCGTACCGACGCCGCTGCTTCCCGGGCCTCTCTCAGAGGTGCGTTCTGGCCATGGTTTCAGGGCGAATCTGGCCGAGGCGACGAAGACCTCCAGGGAGGCCCAAAAGACCCCGAAGCGAAGGGAGGGGTATCGGTATCGGTATCTTTCCCTCCTCTGACCTCATGTGCGCGTGAGAGCGCACCCAGCGCCTCAGCGCCTCGTCGTCCTGAGGGGGGGCATCATGGAGGACCTGGCTCAGGGAGGAAACGTCGAGCTTGAGTAGGCGATACATCGCCGCTAGATCGGTCATACGCCCCCGATTGCGAATCCGAACGTCCCTGGGCGCGGTTGGCTATCAGGCCCCCATCGGCGATGGATGGACGACTGGGGGTCGCAGCGCCCCCCCGAGCCTGTTCACCCTCAAGATTGCCGTCGTTGCGCAGGGACTGACCCTCCCGGCACTCCTATAGGCCTTCCACGACATGTTCTTAGAACCGAAGAGCCTGTTGACATCAAAAGCACTACTCTTATAGCATAAAGCATAAAGCCGAGGCAACACAACAAGGCGGCCTCGGCCAGAAACGGCCTGAGAACCCTTCGTGCAGACCACAGAGAGGTTCTTAGAACATCCTTTGGTGGGCCTGTACACGCCGTTCATTTCTAGTCGTGCTCATTTCTAAGTGTGCTCGTTTCTAATTGTTCCTGGCCCCCTAGTGGCCAGGAAGAGGCCCAGGATAGAACAATTAGAACTGAAAAGATAGTGGCCCCCAAAAAATCAAAACAACTTTCGAAGAATGAGACATGAACCGTGTGTGGGCACTGCCTGCCCTCGCCGTCCTCGCCCGAGAAGCGCGTTCGGCCGGCCCTCCGGCCGACGCGGGCGCCCAGCATAGACAGGCCGCGGCCGGGCCGGCGGCCCTGCCCGGCGCCCGCAGGGGCTGCCATCGTGCGCCCTCCTCGTGTGCGCCTGTGAGGGGCACCGAGGAGGGGGGCACCGGCTCGGGGGGGGGACGCATCGAGCTGGCATCGGACACAGCGGAGGCCCATGCCAAGAGACACCCCGCTCGCCTCCAGGGTGCCCTTGGGTTTCTTGGGTTGCGGTAGTTCTCCCAGGGACCTCCTGGGCTTCTTCCCACACCGAAAACAGTGGACGCCCTGGGGTCTCAGGGTTGGGCTTCTCGTGGAGGGTTTCTTTTGGACTGGCCTCCGCTGCACACTCCGGCGATGAATCGGCGACAGGGCCCCGACAGCGAGTCCGCACGTTCCCGGGCGAAGTGGGCCCATCAGACTGCTGTAGGCGATCAGCGGGCGATTGGGGGGCGGTGCTCTCCCCCCTGAGCCCATCCTCCCCTGTCGCTGCCCTTCAGCTTGGGCTGGCGGGCCCAGCCTGCTTCTCGGCGCCCTCCGCCGGACTGGCCGGGGCCACGAGGGGGGGGGGGAGGGAGGGAGGCAGGGGGCCAGATCTCCGACGCTTGATGCGTGCAATCGCTGCGCTTCTCCCCGGCTTGCGGCTCTCGGCGGCTGTTCTGGACGCGGGGGGGGCGCTTCGGGCCCGGGGGCCATCAACACGGGTCTGGGACACACCAGCGTGCCCAGGTGAAGGGTCGGGAACTCTGGGGCAGCGGATTGAAAAATCATATATCGCCAGGGTGAGGTTCAGGGCCGTCAGACCTACAGCCATCGTGCTACCGTAAGGGACGCTGAAGAAGGAACGAGGGGGCTTCTCTGGCCACGGCGAACCTCGACCACGAAGAGGTTCCAAGGCCTGGATTTAAAGAGCGGATCGAGACCCTCCTGAGCCCAACAGGGCACCAGAAACTGGGGACCCGATCGGCTCGAGCCGTCCGAGATCGACATCGAGCTGGATCGATCGATTCGACATGACCGCTGGCGACTGAGTTTCAGCATCGTCTGACCGATGTCCATTACTCAGCTGGCCAGGGCTCCTCCGCGCCACCTGCCCACCTCCCCCTGCCCTTAGGTCGGGCATGTCCCCTTAGAGGCGAGGACGCCAGGGGGGCCGGATCGCTGCAATCGACCGTCACTGTGGTGCGAAAATAAGAAAAAATCTGGGTCGTGTCGGTGGCCGGACCGGTCTTGATTCGATGGAGGGTCGGCCAACTCTGTGAATTTGGCCCAGGTCTGTCTAAACTTGCACTCTAATTTGAGGATTTGCGGCGCTGGAAAAGACAGGAGAAGGTGCGATCCCTGATACTAAAGACGCCCATATGCCAGTGCTTTCACATTTGTAATCGTGGAGCCCCGGAGTGAGGTCGTTATCGTAATGCATTAGCGCGCAACTAGAGGCATATCTGACTGGGGGGAAACCCGTAAAAAAACCTAGCAAGCCTTATCGCGAGAACTTTCTCTACTTGACATGAGTTTCGTGTAAGGTACAGCGAAGCCAAATGTACGCGAAGTTTGCTCTCGCTTCATCACTCATTCTGCTCATCCTGGTGTTTCCCTTTCCGTCAGGAAATTTACCCAAACGTTATGGTAAGTCTCCCTGCTCCTAGATTTGCGATGATGGATACAACTCTCCGCTGGATACTAGACCACTGCTTCTCTAAAATCAACCTTGACCACAAGATAACCACGCTCAGGCTCTGGCGACGTGCGTGCAGGCAGGGCACGATTCGTCTTCTCAACAGCCGTACGGCTTCCTGACGTACCTCGCAAATGCGCTGTTCACGTTCGTGTCCAGAGGACTCGGAGGCCTCAGCGGAGTCAAGTGTGTCCAAGTCGGGCAATATGGCAGGTTGTTTGCCGGTGTCTGCCTGATATGGCGACACCCCGTTGTAGATTATGAAGGCGCTGCGCACGAATATCTCCTCGGCGAGAATGCGTTTGAAGACTTTGGGGATGTTGTGGCAATTCAACTCTTCTTCGATCATGCGTGGCGTCGCCCGAACTACGCCAGTTCGTGCCCCAATGGTGGTAACATTCTGTCCAGGTGTTCGGACCTAGAGGGTGTACCCATTGGTTGCCATCTCCTCATTCAATCCACCTTCGCCGTCGGGGTAGAGTGCACCGCAAGGTCCGCCTGGCATGTACCAACACTGGAAGAACGAATCGGTGATGGTAAAGCGTTCTTGGTCGGGAATTCTTCCCCTGCAGTCAGTTGATATATCGATCGGTGATGCGGAATATGATGTGTCTGGTGCCCTTGTAGATCGTCAGGCCACATCCGCATTCCTCGTCGAATTTCCATGGAAGGCTAACCGATGGGACAATTGATGTGCCAAGTCTTGTCCAAGTTCCGCATTCACGGCAAATGCCAAATACTTCCTTGATAATCCCACCAGCCCTCTGAGGGTAGGTGGTTTAGGGAGTTTCCTCTTCCAACCCCCTTTTTCCCCTTCGGGGAGGGGTTTGCCCCTCCTCCTACCCCCTCCACTGGAACTGGACGGGGGGTGGTCGCGAGGGGGTGGAGCGTCTCAGACGGCCCAAGATGGCTCTAAGAGGTCCTCGGAGAGACCAAGATGACCTCCAAGTTGGCTCAAGATAGCGCAAGATGCGTCAACATGTCTCTCAAGATGCCCCACGAGGCCCCAAGAACGCTCCAAGACGGCTCCAAGAGGCCTCCGAGACTCCCAATGAGGCTTCCAAGAAGCCAAAATCCCTCACACACCTAAGGACAATCAATGATGTTTGCCTTCTCGCCTTTTCACTTCCGATGGCCATCCGAAGCCTCAAACTGGCTCCAAGATGGCCCAAGAGGGGCCCTGGCCCCAAAAGCGCCCAAGAGCGCTCCAAGAGAGCGCTCCAAGAGCGCCCCAAGAGGGGTTCAGGAGGTGATGTTTGGCGCTCTGGAAGGGCAGCGCTAATTAAGGAGCCCCCCTTCTTTGATCGATCTCCTCTAAGATGGCCCCAAGAGCGCCCCTGAAGCTCCCAAGAGCGTCCCAAGAGGGCCCCAAGAGGCGCCCAGACGGCCCCAAGTGGCCTCCAAAAGGCTCCCAAGAGACCCCCAAGAGGCCCCCAAGAGGCCTCAAGAGGATCCCCAAAGCACCCAAGATGCCCCCCCCAGACGCTCCAAGAGGCGTATTATGTTCGTCACTTTTTTGTTTGTCATCCTCATCCTTCTCCTCCTCCTCCTCCTCCTTCTCTTTCTCCTCCTCCTCCTCCTCCATGTCCGCCTCCTCCTCCTCCTCCTCCTTTCCCTCTACTTGTTCAGCCTACTCCTCCTCCTCCTCCTTTCCTCTCCTTTTCCTCCCCACATCCTCTTCCCCCTCCTTCTCCTCCTCCTCCTCCTCCTCCTTCTTGCCCACTTCCTCCTTTTTTCCTCTCCTCCGTTCCCCCCCCTCGCGACGAAAGCAGCGACGACAGAGCCGATGACGACGAAAACGACAACGACGATGACGAGGCGGCAGCGGCGGCGGGAAAGAAGGGCGGATGTCGGAGCAGCAGCACCACCACCAACAGCAGCATCAGCACCAACAGCAACACCCGCACCATTCGCTACCAGAGATCTCCCAATTCACCGTTGTTGCGCACGCTGTTTCACTATGCGCGTCTCTTCATCCTTTCTCCCGTCAGCTCTCCTGGACATCGTTTCTGGATGGGCTGGTGGGGATTTCTTGTCTCAGCCGCAGGCGAAGGCGCCGGCGGCGTCACAAGTCAGCTCGGGATACGATCAAGCCTAACGTAGCGCGCGCACTAGCAACTGCTGAACTACCGCCGAGGGGCGCTGAGCTGCGCCGAGGGCTGCAAGAGCAGTGGCTAAATATGGTGGGGATTTTTTGTCGCAGCCGCAGGCGAAGACGTCGGCGGCGTCACAGGTCGGCTCGGGCTACGAGCAGAGCTAATTGCCTAGCGCGCAGGCAACTGCAGGCTGGTGGGGGTGCTTTTTGGTCAGCGGCCGCGGGCGAGCGCGCCGGCGGCGAGTCCAGTCAAAGCGGGGCACGCAGCGACGAATTAACCTAAAGCGACGGAGGGTGGCCACATCTACAGCGGCTAACCGAGCCCTCACGCAGCAGCCCAGCGGCGGACCGGCGAGTGGGGGGGCAGCTGAAACACTGCCAGCGCGCAAGTATGTAAAGCGTCGGGGCTCCAGAGAGTCGGGGCGCACGACGACCCGGGCCAGAAGCCGAAATGAATGCAAGGACGCAACCCCGGACAACTGCGTGAGTACAAGGGTGGCCCGAAAAACCGTCGGTCAAAGAATTCAAGCCATGAGGCGAGAGCGTTGGCGGGCTGCGACATCCCAGGGCCGTAGCCGCAAAGTCCCGAGGCAGCAGAACGCACGAGTGCAGGAAGCAGCAGAGCTGCCACGCAGCCAAAATGGCGCGGTTCACCACGAACCAGTGCGTGAAGTGGCGACTGGTGGGGATACGCGAAGTGTGAAGAATTTGCAGCCTTGCTGAGTCAAGACCAACATTACTTAGAATCATGCGAAAATGCATCGGGTCGTAGGGCCACAGGTTGAAGACGGTCCCCACGAGCAACTACTTGAGGAGGACCGCCTTGCGGGCGCGCCCCCGCGCTCATGAGCAGGAGGGGCATCGCGCGTGATGTCGTGACTCCCCGCGCCAGCTGTAGGATCGCCATGAGCAGCTGCACTGGGTCTTGGAGGTCTGGCGCGAGCCCCATGCCGTCCAGATGACGACGACAACTGGACACCTCCTGGTTCAGGGTCGGCGGCCGCGCCATCATCAAGAACAGAATTGGATCGCGGGGGTGCAGTCTTCCCTTCGGGATCGTGCTCGTCTGGTAACATCGACGGAATAGCAAAAGAACGCTTTCCCTGGTGAATCATTCAGATGGCTTCTGACCCTCTCGGTGTACTCACTTTTACGCGCAGGCAACGGATAGGGATTGCTTCGCACCAGCAGCATTGGGTCGGATCGCGGTTGCATCAAAAGACTGTCCTGACGTTGTGTCGACTCTCGCGCCCAGATTACGTATCCTGGCGGCTAGATCGCTGGGTGCCGCGGTGGCGACGGCAGTGGACGGAAAGGCGCGCGCATTTTCGCGCTCGGAGTCGAGCGACTAAGCCTTAGCAGCTGCTGCCACAAACGCAAACTGTAAGCGCTTGGTGTAATGTGCTGGTTCCGCAAATTGCTTGTTGCATGGCTGTGCGTGCCTATGTTTACCGTCGCACTTAGATTTCACACATGGCGTGGTTGTATACTCGTCGTTGCTAGTGAAATCCTTGGGTTTCTTGAGGTCGTCTCCAAAGTCGCCCATCCACCCAGCGGCGCACTGGCCAATGCCAACCGTTACGAGATGTGGCCTTGCAGCCCGTATGTTTCAATAATGCATCCAGACAGCCCGCGTGCCTGTAGGCTGTGCCCGGAGAAACCACCGTCAGATGTCATCAGGTTTCTTGGCGACGTGTCCACAGTGCATGATGCGCGGCAAGTAGTTTGCACTGCGCTTCGCCCAGGTTTGAGGATTGACCTTCGAGTTGGGGTACCTGAAGCTGGTCCCGCGGGCTGGCCCTGATGGGCCCCACTCTGTCCAAATGTGGGGTGGTAGTGCCGATGGGCTTAGGCTGGCTACCACCTTTTCCGACCTCGCGTTGAGGTCGCCGCCTTTATCCATGCTGCTGGCTCGTCTCCAGGAGCTGTCGGGAGTCCGCGAACCACTCGAAGATGGACGTGGCTCCCGCCCCGTGGGCTTGCCCTTGCGGGCCACCTTCGCTGCCATGTCCGCGTCGCCATGGGACGCACATGCCGAAGGATCCGCAGCAACCCACAGCTTGGACTTGGAGCCCACAGACGGCGAAGGAGAAAGCTTAGGCCGAACCCCTGCCCCTTTCTTGGGTGCAATCGGGCTTGATGACGCATCAACCTAACCACCACTGCCACTTTTGCGACTCTTCTTGGCCCGTTTCTAAGCTTTTTCGGCATCCCTGAGACGTGTCTTGGTCTTGACCACTTCTGGCGGTTCAAGATCCTCTGCCGCCATTTGGTAGGAGGCGGGTTCCCCCGTACCCATCGCTCGGGAGAAGTAGGTAGAAACATGAAGTATGAAGGCGTGGAAAATAGATTGGGTGCCCGCCCGCCCCATTAGGAGGACGGAAAATGTGAAGCCACTCGATCACTGAAGTAGGAAGGCGCTTAGCGTAGATTGGAATCTGGCACTCCAGAAATACATTCTTTCACCGACCGATGGGTATCTGCAGCTGCTGCAGCACCGGCGGAGCCAGAAGCTTTCCCAAGGATCGGTCGACCTGGGCGCCGTAGTGCCTCGTTGATCGTTCTGTATCATTGGCACCAGCGGCGGGCCGCCAGGCTTACACGCCGGTCGGAAGAAGTAGGTAGAAACATGAAGTAGGAAGGCGCATAGAGTAGATTGGCGGAAGTGGGTTGGGGCCCGCCCAAATAATAACAAACAACAGCCAAACCATATCGATCATTGAAATAGGAAGGCGTTTGAGGTAGATTGGGTTCTGGGAATCCAACAATGGACCTACTTTCAACTATCGATGGGTAACTGGGGTGAGGACCCAGTCGGGGCTCAGGGCGCCCTGGTCGGCACCATTTGCCGAACAGGGGACCGCAATCATGCCGTCTGCAGTCGTTGCGCAAGTTGATGCGGTTGCGGCGGCCCCGACGACCAGCCTATGTCTCCTGATGTCGCGTGCGTCCTGGGCCCTGCATGGCGCGTCCCAAGAGGAGATCCAGGAAGGAAAAAAGATGCCAACATCAAAGATGTCCTCAAGGTTTGGAGGCGAGTTCGCATTTGCTTCTTTTAGGTCTCCCGACGGCCCACGACGGCCCAAAAGATCGTACCCAGAGCGCCCAAGACGCCTCCAAGCTGGCCCCAAGATGGCCCAAGAGGCCCCCAAGACGGCCCCAAGATGACCCAAGACCGCCCAGGAGGCCTCCAAGACGCCCAATATGGCCTCCAAGACGGCCCTGGAGCGCCCCCAAAGGGCCCCAAGTCAGCCCAGAGAGGTCCCCAAGACAGCTTCCGACTGCGTCAGACGGGCCAGGAACGCCCTCAGACGACAAAAGGATGCCTTCAAGGGGCCTCCAGCAGGCGCCCAGGAGGCCCCGAGCGCGCCCCAAAAGCTCACAAGAAACCGTTTCCTCCTCCTCCTCCTCCTCCTTCGTTTTCCTCCTCACTCTCGTCCTCTTCCCCTTCCTCACTTAAGTGATCCCTGAAGGGCTCCCACAGCGGCTGGGGGAAACAAACAGTCCGATAGCCTGGCCGAGCTCTAGCCACAACGATCGGCCACACAAGCGCTTTCAAAAGGCAGGGGCGGCGGTGGTTCGCCGTAAACATCTTCGATCCGACGCCCCATTTTGCCTTGCCACAGGGGTGCACGGCGAGCTACACGTTAGGTCGTTTCTGGTCCTTTCAAAATGTGCCTTCGGCCCAACCCGCTGGCCCCCTGGAAAAACCCCACAATGACGAGCAATGCGAGAAACCAGAAAACTCGCCTCTAAGACTGCCATGGTTCCAAGATGGCCAGCAGGACGGCTAAGATGGCCCCACGAGAGCCCAACATTGGTCCCAAGACGCCTTCACGATGATCAGGATACCCCTAAGACGGCCCAAGATGTCGTCCAGACGGCCCCCAAGAGGTCCCCAAGACGCCCTAAGAGGGCTCTGGGAGGACCTCCAGGTCATATTTTTGAATCGCACTTGTTCGATGATTTTAGCGTTCTCCCTTTTCGGGTTTCCGACGCGCCAAAACGGCCCCATGGGCCTACAATATCGCCCCAAGACGGCCAAAGAGGCTATGGAACCCCGAAAAGGCATGCAAAACGGCCCAAGCTAGCCCCAAGATGGCCAAAGAGGACTCCAAGACGGCCCCATCGACCTCCAAGACGGCCCTGAAGCGCCGAAAAATGGACACATGACTGCCAGGGAGGGCCCAAGACGGCAGCCGAAGGCCAAGAGGTCCCTCAGAGACCTCGAAGAGGACCCCAAGAGGCCCAAGGATGCCCCCTGAGAGGCTCCAGGAAGTCCCCAAGATGTCCCCAGGAGGCCCCAAGAGGGCATCACGAGAGCTCCTCTTCTGCCTCTTCCTCCTCCTCCTCCTCCTCCTCCGCCTTTTCTTCCTCGTTTTCCTCCCTCTCCTCCTCCTTTCTCTTCCTCTCCTAAATGCTCCTCTTCAAGGGGTTCCACAACGGCTGGGGGAACACGTGCTCGAATACCTTCGCAAGACTAAAGCCCAATGTTTGGCTGCGTAGGCGTTTCTAAATAGCAAGGGGCAGCGGTGATTCTCCGTAGGCGTTTTCGATACACATTGAATCGGAGGGGCGTCCTGAGGTCGCCCTTCAGTTGCCAGTGTGCGGAAACCCTCGAACAAAAACATACGCACTTCATCCTTGGTGAATTGCTGGGCTGCTGTGCCGACTTCCGTACTAGACATGGCGGCCTAGGAATCCACGACGGGTCCCCGAGGCCCGATCTCATCCCAACATGCGATCCCCCCTCCCTTCCTGTCCACTTGCCCCCCCCCGAAAAGCTGCGGACGCACCTGAAGCTGATGTTGCTGGCGTTCAGCTGTCCTTGGAGCTGCAGCCCTGCGGCGCGAGTGCTGCGCAGCTCCTCCCGCGGGCGCCGAGGCCCGCCTGTCTGGCCAAGAGTACGCGGGAAGAGAGAAGATGACAACACGAGAGCGCGGATTCCAAACATGCATCTGATTGCGGCCCCGTGTGTACCGCCCTTCAGCGACGCAAGTCACCACACTTGGCTACGATGTGCTGATGATGGCACGGCACAGGCCCGGCGCATATCCCCATTAAGTTCGACCGCGATTCGACACATACCTTACAAGAGAGCCAACGATCATAATCACGCCCGCATTTTTCATCATATGGACAGGCGCTGAGGCGGAGTGAGGCACGGCGGGGATCGTGAAGGAAATGCCTGCCATAGACGATAACCACCATAGACGATCGAGACACACATGTCCGCACACATAGACATAAACATGCATATACTCATGTTTAGGAAGAGAGAGAGAGAGAGAGAGAGAGAGAGAGAGAGAGAGAGAGAGAGAGAGAAAGAGAGAAAGAGAGAGAGAGAGAGACAAAGAGAGACAGAGAGAGAGAGAGAGCAACATAAACAGAAAGGGAGGGAGGGAGGGAGAGAGAGGCATAGAGAGAGAGAGAGAGAAACAAAACAGCGACATGGCCACGCATATCTACACATGTGTACTGTACACCATTATCACTACATGCATACATATACCTATACGACCACCCTGCGGGTGATAAGGAGGTTTGGGGGGAGGGGGCCAGCAATGAGCATCAGTGGTGATTGTTGTTCTGACGATGCCAGTGGAGATCGTTGCGTTGCCGCTCGCTATTGGGAGCCTTGGTGTCGAATTGTTTACGTCACCCTTCGCTCTTGGGCGCCTTGGTACCATTCCCCCCCTCCCCAGGGAACCAACGAAATAATCAATTATTCTGCGGAATGGCGGAGCCCCTGGATTCCTTTTCTTGAGCCGAGCGGTTTCGGTAACAACAATCTCAGCCCGAAACCTGTGAAACCCTGCAGCCCTCCTCGAGGCCGCTGTGCACGCTGGCGGGCTTGTCAGCCCACCATCTCAAATTACATCAGTAATTACAACAGTGCCAGCCGAAACCCGTTCGGTTCCGTCTCGTGTAAAGAAACAGCCATGGCAAAGGAAACCTTCATTCACGTGACATCGCGTTCTCGTTCTCTCTCTCACGCGTTGCGACCTCGGGAGGTGATCAATCTCCGCCGTATATCTTCTGAACAAGCCAACATTGCTCAACACAGACGGTATCTCGTACTGGTTGTCCAGGGTGCGTGCATTCACTGAAACCGCGCTCCCCAATCTTGAGTGCCCAACGGCGTATACCGACCATCAGCCTCATAATGTAGCTTGCTCCTGCTCTTGTAGGTCACTGGCCCTTGGACCTCAACTGACCTCATCTTCTTGAACTGCACCTCTGTCTCTGGCGGAGCATCTCTCCTGCGTCGCCTCGACGGTGATCGTTCATCTGACCCTGACCTCGGGCCCTGAAGGTTACACCTCGGGTCCTGGAGGAACCCGCAACCCTCTTCGTTTCGTACATGTCGAAATGGCGTGGACCACAACCCAAAGGCACCCCGTGCCTCTAAAGATTGACCCACAACCCTGTCCTGCTTCGCCTTTACCACAAACGCGTAGTAATTGAAAACCACTGTCACAATCGTAACCACCAAGTGTGAAACGAAACTCCACCAGTTGAACTCGCTCTTCATGTTCACATTGATTCTGAAACCATCCTCGTAGTAGCAGTCGCCTGTCGCCCCTGCTCCCGAAATGACCGTCACTACCGCCAAAAACTTCGTGAGCACCTCTGGGTCCGTGAAACTCGTCGCCTTGATTGAAATCAAACCCAGCGTCTTCATGTGTCTCCTGAGCGTGTCCTTGTCCATCGGCTTCGTTCCTATGTCCGCCACCTGGCCCTTCGTATTGACCTTCACCACCTCCATGTCTCCGTCTCGTACCAGATCTTGATGCCAGATCCACCGCGTCTGTAGATGTCGTACTCGTCCTACTCCGTGTCTGTGGATCATGCCCTTCGCCGCTGCTGAGTCCGTCTCCAACTCCAGAGTGATCTTGACCTCCTCGTTCCTCATCTGCGCCATTTCCTGCAACGCGTGCTTGATGGTGAGACCTCTGGCTGCGCCCGAACCCATCGCGTAGAACTCCGACTTCCCACTTGAGAGCGCCACCGTCGCCTGACATAGTACCCAGCTCTCCACTAGATGAGCTCCTAATCGAACTCCACCTGATGAAATGCTCTTGCATGTCGCCCCCTGTCCAGCCCAGTCCGCATTCACCGACGCCGTCACTTTGAACGTCTCCTGCTGATACGGGTAGAACATCACGATGTCGGCCGTGCCCTTCAGATACCTGACCAGACGCTTCTGCTTGAGTATGTGCCTCACCCACGGGTCGTTGCGCGAACAACTCTAATCTTGAACTGCTTCCTGAATATGCCAACGATCCCCAGCCATATAATGTGCGATGCCACCGCAACTCCTGTACAACGTAGAGCTCTGTCGTTCTACTGGGTCGTCAGCTTCTCGAACTCCCTTGGCAGTGTGCTTCGAACTCGGTGTCTCTGCCGGCTTGGCCTGCTTCAGCTCGTACAACTCCACCATCTTCAAGATCAGCTTCGGGTCTGGTAGAATGCCGAAGCCCTCCTCGCCCCAGAGCACCGCCCTGTTGAGAAAAATACCTTCAGCCACCCCTCCTGGTCCCACTCTCGGTTGAGGCTTGACCTTGAACCTGTTGGCCATGAGCTTGTCGAACTCATCCAGCTCCTCGTCGTGCGCCTCCACCACAAAGTCATCTCCATGTCCAGCACAGAGCGAGTCCTTGCCAGGATGGTAGTACAGGCAACACACCGTCTTCAACTCCTCGTACCCGTTCTGTCTGAAGTTATCTCGAACTTCTCCTTGAAATAACATCGACGCCTCTGGCGTCCCATGCATCGCCTTCTGCAACTTCCAGAAAGCATCCCTGGTCGTCGCTGTTCAGGTGGTGGCCAGCAGTACTGGGGCTCCTTCAGCGACGCGTGAAAGAACGCCACTGAGATGTCGTATAGACCAAGCTTCTTCCTCCTCGACTCGGTCGTCCTCGTTGAAGCTGCTCTCGAAATCACAAGCTTAACTGCCCATAGTGCGGGTGTCCCTGCGAAATTCGAGGGGTCGGTTCCGTCGCTATACCTTCTGTGAACACATCGGCTCCTCACGATCCACTCGTTGTTCTGTAAGTCGTACTTCTTGCTGTCGATCCACTTGGTGTCGAACGGCTTCATCCAGTCCTCAAGCGGTACCCACTCAAAGACCTCAAACTCCTCCATGCTCTTCATCTCCTTCGTCCTGCCGTTGATGACCAGCTCCTTCAACAACTCCTCGCCTGTGTACGCGTCTCTGTAGACTCCGTCACCCACCAGCTTGTCGTAGCTCACCCTCGGCTCCAACTCCTCGCAGACGTGGCGGTCCTCATCCTTCGTGATCGGCACATCTCCTCCAGCTACGATCGCGTTACCCGTCATCTCCGCGTCCTGCTCGATCTGTAGCTCCCGTCCGAAGTGATGACCAACCGGTGTACCTGGAGCTCGCTGACCTGCTTCTTCGAGTCGTGGTTCTGCTACTCTAGCATATTCTGGTGGTGGCTGTGCTGCTGGAACTGCCGCTGGTGCTGCTGCAGGTTGCGCTTGTCCTGGTTGATCTCCTGATGCCATCTCGATCCTCGGCTCGGCCTCCTCGAAGATCTTGGCGAACCTCGTCCTGCACCTCGCGTTGTGTATTGATGAGTTCCCTTCGCATGCTGCACGCCCATCTGTAGGTCCATATTCCTCGATCAGCGCCTTCGTGATGTACTTCCGTCTCCTGACCTCATTCTGATCCTTTACCTCCAAGCCCCTGGGATTCCACGGCGCTCCTATGAACGTGCTGTAGACCTCCTTGTTGTACTTGTCCTCCGTGGCCCTGAGCTTCATCGCCCTGGCGTGCTCGATCCCCCTCGACGTACCTACGATGATTTCGTCGCTCTCGTCACGCCTGCCCAAGAAGATACCTTGGCCCCACCTGGGTTCCAGCTTGGAGTAGTCCTTAGCCTGTATCTTGTAACCGATCGTCTCTCCGATCTTCCCGAGCTCTGACTTGAACTTCGCACGTCCCAGTCGTTCCCAAGCTGTCCTGCCATCCGTCTTGATAGCGAACCTGGCGAGCAAGTACCCCACGTGCCTAACCAACCACGGCATGATCAAACTCTTGGGTCCGATCTTCACCTCCAACTTCACCTCCAGCTCGCTGTGTAGCGTACGTAGGTAGTAACGACTCCACTCTCTCCACCGCGTTCTCAATCGCACCGTTGCTCTGATGAGAACCTTTAGGGGCCTTCTCTACATGCGTGCTGTGCTTCCTCCTGTTCTTCACCGCCGTGATCACCGCTTGTAGTGATGGCTCCTGGTCGCCATTCAGGATGATATCCGCTGCTCCCCAAACGTCCAAGTAGGACTCCACCGCTGAGTTGACGTACTCGCTGGGCCCCTTGCGGATCACCATGATGGAAGCAACTGCATCCTCAGGCTTCTGCGCCATCACCAGGATGTTGACCATCTCCGTCTCCAGCTCGGTGTTCGCGAAGCAGTAGTCCATGCTAATGACTGGAATCGTCGGCGCCTCCTCTGGGTCAGCCTTCTTGTGACCATCTTCCTTGCCTCGGCCCCAAAGACACCACTTGCGCCAATCCCGACACGGCATTTGCGTCTTCTCGTGGATGGTTATCTCCTCTGCTGTGGGCCTGTACCTCTCCATCTTGACCTTCGGCAGTCGCGCCTCGTCTGTCCCGATCTCATCCTCCTGCTCCGCCGGCTGCTGAGCTTGTTCAGGTTCATCACCTTCTAGAGGGCAGAGCGTGCTCGCGTTCACGTCGAAGCTGTAGATCCCATGCCTCTTCGAGATCCCCAGTGGTCTATTCATCTGGTTGTTCGCGTTCTCGTACTCGATCATCTCCTTGATCCGCTGGCTGACCTTCGGATTGACCACTGCTCCACCGCCTTCGTCGAACCGTG